CCAAAAAAAAAAAAAAAAAAGAAGGTATTTTCACAAGCCTTGTTTAAGGAACTATGCAACATTTTAATACAACATCTCACAGCCTTGATACAGAAGTTACTCCTCATGAAAGGAGTTTATTTATATGAGTGTTACATCTGGTGTCAATGCTTTTTTGTTGTCCTTGTGTTGACAACTGTACAAGGCAACTGTGTTGACAACTATACAAGGCTCATTCCTTTTAGCTGCCCTCTCCCTGATATGATCCAGGTGCATCTTATTCCTGTTTAACATACGCTCTCCCTGCCCACCTCCCCCCTCCCAGCCCCCGCACACACTTGTGTCACAACATAAGGCTGGTAACAACTAACTTCATAAAAGGAATATGTAAATAATATTAAAGGATGGCAAAATAAATGTCACTCCTTTAATGCTAAGGCACAGAATCTGTAAATTATGGTTAAATCAAAATCATACAAACTGTCTTCAAGACGGAAAAAAAACCCACGCAGTATAGAAACATTGCAAGGACTGCATTTCTGTCCTTTAAAGCCATATCCAGACATGCAGGCAAGTGTAGTTTGTGGCACTGCAAACCTCTTTATAGTGCCACTAGCCACATGCCCACCTTGTTAAAACATGCCCCATGCTGCAAATTTGCAGCACGGGGATAATTTTTGCTACTGGGAAATTCTGGTAGCAAAAAAAAAGGTGAGAAAAAATGTGAAGCATGTGACAGGAACATGTGCCAGCAGGTACAGAGGCTTGATCCTCTACAGCAGTGGCTCCCGACCTCAGGGTGTGACCCAAATCAAGGTCACAGGGGGTGATCTGCAGGGCTTTCCTGGTGCACAGCCCATGCAACTCTTGCTGCCACTGCCCGCTGTAATCCGAACCTGGCCCAGGCTCTGCTGACAGTGCTGGGCATGAATGAGTTGGTGGTGGGGGTGGGGGTCGCGACCCAGATTCAGGGTTGCAGCAAAAAAAGGTTGGGAGCCACTGCTCTAGAGAGATTCTCTGGGTATGGGCCAAAGCATCTCCACTCCTTTAGTTTTTAAGTTGTGCCTCAGCTCCTCCAGCCCCACACCAAAATGTCACATACAGGGGTATGTGCTGTGGCAAAAAGTAGCAGCACAGATTTGTGACACTGCTATTTTTTCCACTGCAAGCACAGGCTCCTGCATGTGCGATTGTGGCTTAATCATCCCTCTTAACACAGGTCTCACTCAGTAATTGTTCCCTTGAAATTCCCTCAAGTAATGATTTTTATCATTTAGTCTACACTTGGTATTAAAAAGATTTATTCAGCTTTCTACTTTAGTATGTAGTTTATAGGAACTCCTTTGTTTATCAATTTATTTAGGTGACATCCTAACCTCATATTAAGCCAACTCCAGTTGGCACATATGATCACCCAGGGGGCACTTCAAATTACAATTTGAAGAAGAAAAAAAAAGTTACTAACAGTATATTTGATGAAGTACTGGAAGATACTTAAAATTACCATAATGCTTCCCTACTGGTCATAGTCATAAATATGTGCATTTGTTTTTGCTTTTTTTAATTATTTTTATTTATGGTTTTTAATGACCACTGATGGACTTTATGGCTGCATCTAGACGAGTGATCACATGCCTATTATGGTGCTTCAAAGCAGTTTAAGATGCCACAAGAAACATGTTAAGAATGAAAAACATGTTCCCCATGTTGCATATTTGCAATGTGGGCTCTAAATTTGATACTGGGAAATATATATATAAACAAAATAAAACCTAAAAAAAAGCCAGAGGTAACCAGAGGGTCCTCCAAGGAGATGCTCTGGCATATGGCTAGAGCATCTCTACAGCTGCTCCAAGCCCCTGCTGCTCCAGCATGCTTCCTCAGTGTATTGATGCAAATAGGGCTGGGGCAAGACTGCAGTGGCAACTCAGACCCAGGCTCTGTCCCCAGTAAGTAGGGACATGGGGGTGGGAGGACTGTGTGTGTGGGGATGGGGGGATTGTAGGGGTGGGGATGAGAGGGACTGTGGGTGGATGGACTGTGTGGGAGTGGGTGTGGAATGCTTGAGAGGGGTGCATCCCCTGTGAGCTCCCCTGCCCGCTCCCCTGCATAGTGCACAGCTCTCCCCCCACCCCACCCCACAGCAGCAGCAGTGACCATTGGGGCATTTATGCCCACTCACGAGACCCCTGGTGATACAATGCAGCCTCAGACCCAGTGGTTGCACATGGCACATGGCACCAGCCTGACCCACTTGCATGCATCCTTGGACAGAATGGGAATGGCTCTTGCTGTCAGCCAGGTTCCTGGCACTGCACACAGAAGCTGCACACCCTACGATTAGGCCAGGTCCTGCCTCCATGAAGATAGCCCAGCCTGACACCACATGGGGTACATGGAGGCAGGACCCAACCTGGCCTGAGGGTGTGCGGCTTCTGTGTGCAGTTCCAGGAGCCCACATGAAAGCAAGAGCAACCTGGTCCTGCCCAAGGGCAAATGCAAGTGGGCCAGACCAGCACTGTGCACCATGTGCAGCAGCTGGATCTGAGGCCGCATCATGCCACCAGGGGTCTCAGCCAGGAGCAGCAATGAACATCCCAATGGCTACTGCTGCTGTTGCTGGCGGGGGGGGGGGGGGGGGGT